CCGTATGTCACCCCCATCCTGCACCTCAAATCTGTAGTGCTCTTAAAATACTGCATGGGATAAGAGCTAAACCAAATCTCCACATCTTCATTCTTCATTCAGTTCTTCTGTAGTGTTACAGAATTATTAGCATGATAAAACCCCTTCAATTAAACCAGCCCAGCATCCTCACAGCATCATCCACTGATCTTCTATCAGCGCTTAATGAATCTCCATCACCAGGTCAGCAGTGAGAACTGATTCTAGAACAGTACATGTTTAGAATGTACACACTGGGGTGGTGGGAAATTAGGCTCTGCCTGCTGTCTGAAAATCCACTAATTAGCATAGCAATACCAGGCCCCTCCTTTATTGGGTCTATGTAAAGCTTTCATATGCTAAAACAAGCCAATCAGTGGCTTTGCCATTCATTGTTTTGACATGAGGCTCAGATGGGGTTATGAGAAATCTACTCTGGAAAAATGGACTGAGAGGGCATGTGGAGAAGTGCGTGCGATGTGTGTACATGACTGTGAATGCAGTATGAAATGATGCCTAGATACGGCTAGTTAGTGCCTATTTAAAGTAACACTTTATTTGAAGGCTATCCACATGGGGGCTTTACAGTGCACTGAATAACAGCAATGCTTAAACATCTCTCATATAAAAAATTTGATGAAGTAAAAGACTTTGGATTTACATAAGGGCCCTTAAACTAATGTGAAAGACGTTTGTTCCATTTGTAGCACAAAATGTCTTCAAACAAGTGGAAAATGATCACTTCAGTTTGATGGCATTAAAATCTTTCCTAAAAGTGATTTAAAGACCTAAAAGTTCTTCACAGTTTTGACTGCTAACATTATTATATGAAATAAATTGTCTATCACTTTGGTTGGTAACACCTAGAAGGGCAGCATTCGTATGGTTACATTAACCTACACAAGCCTTTCATGACAGCTGGCATAAAGCTACATAACCATTTTGAAAGGCTTTTTCCAATAAGTGTCAATTTTAAAAAGCTACTTTTGTCAACTTTGATGTCAAGTGGGGATAGCTTTTTGCTGATATTAGGTTGTGTCATAACACGTCTGGGGGTGAAATAACATAACACGTTAAATCATCTGACTTTGTAGCTCAGTGTATTTTTGTATGTCTATATTATATGTCTACATTTTTGTATAATAGTGATTATTTGACATAACTTGAGAAGTGAGGCTGGCTGCAAAACTGAACAAAAGGTGAGCACAACGCCACTCTGTGGCCACTCTTACAGAGCTATGAACATTTTCTTTGACTCTTAAATGGAGTATCATATTTATTCCTATAACACCTTTATGAATCACTATGGCAATGCCATGACATTGAATAGTTTGGACACTCCTGGTCAATGTTTTGAAAATAAGTTCATACCTTCTACAGCAGTGGTCACCAACCCTAGTCCTGGAGATCTACCTTCCTGCAGAGTTTAGTTCCAACTGCAATCTGCTTCTTCTACTCCAGCTAGTTCATTTCTTCAGAAGTTCTTGATTGGCTGGATCAAATGCAGTAATGTAGGTACAGGGAGGGGGCAGCATGTTAGATGCAGGGTTAAACTAAACTCTGCAGGATAGCAGAACTCCAGACTTCTCCAGGGTGGTGACCACTGCTCTACAGGGAACAAACTTAAATATAGCATTTCTTTTGCAAATTTCAGTGCACTTTTTCTATTTCCTTTCTACGGGAAAAAAGTAACAGTAATTGTGCATAAAAATGTGCAAATATGAGTGTAGAGGATGTGTTTTTAGTTTGAAAATCAACAAAACATATCATTTCACCAGGGGTACCCAAACTTTTGCATATGACTATGTGAATTTACTCTGGCCCTTAAATAAGGTAAGGCTTATGTAGGCAGTCATGTAGCCTTATGAACGCTGCCCTTAAGTGTTACCCTTTAGTTTAAAGGCCCTTCTGTCAGTACAATGTCATTTACTCATAAAACATCTTGATGAACATTTTCTTGATGTGAATATTGACAAATGCTATTGTAATTCTATTCATAAATACTGAAGTATGGCTTTTTAAATGTTATTCAATGCTTATGCATGTGTTATGATGTTCCTATGTAGGCGGCCTTTAAATAAAGTGTTACCAAATAAGCTAACTTATAGCCTACTTGAAGCCTATGTAAGAGTGTAGTGGGGTGTGTGTACCTTAGCTCTCCCCACCAAAATAGACACTTCCTTCCTGTATTGATTGTACACTTCAGTCCTTGTCTGTTTAACTGATAACACACAGCACTCCAGGAAAGAGCCCTCTCTCTCTCTCTCACACACATTATCAGACTGATAATGGTTAACAATAGCAGCTACTGTGGCTCTGAGGTCCAAAGCAATATCAGATTCTGTGGACTGTCTTAGGATGGCGGTTGTCATAACAACAGCATTCAAATAGGTGACTGTGTCTGGAGATAACATACCATCCTGCTACCATTCATCACAGAACATTAGCTCATACCAAAACTATTATCATCAATAAAACTAGGCCTGTGACGGTAACAGAGTCCACTCATTCTTGTAACCTTGTAGAAAATAACTGTGGTAAATGGGTAAACAGGACTTTACTTTTCCTTTCTTTAATTTTCAGATCATCCCATACACTTAAGTGGAAAATGATGCCATGTGAACTGAGTCTTAATCTTTGTAATACAAAAGAAGATAATAAAGCGCATTTTAGTAAAAGTTGTAGTTGTAGTATATAGTGATCTTTAATTTGGCCACAAAACTGTAATTAATCTAGTAAGAAAGAACGGAATATTGAATGTTACACAGACTTCACCGTCTGGGAGTTTGTGGCTGCTTAGCTGAGCCCTTTGTGCCTTCTTCTATAAAGCAATTTTGCCTGAGGCCGTTTGAAACAACCCATTTCGCCTGATGAATGAGAGCCGAGACATGTTTTTACTCTTATTCTTCCCCGAGACCCAAGTCGTTTTTCAGTCTGAAACCTGATGTGCGTTCTGAGGACATCCTAAAATGTACATCGTGCCACAGAGGCGGTATTTTGTACAGGCATGATATCTGCCTGGAGCACAGGGTGCATTCAACCAGCACAGCTGTGTTAATGTGTACAAATACTAGGGGAAAATCTACATGAAATGAAGCACGGATACCACTTTCTTAATCAAAACCTCTAAGCCAATAGCTTTAAATGTAATAAATGCTCTTACTCACTCCCCTTTGCTAGAAAAATATTGGTGTTGACCATTACTGGTACATGCTAGTACTCTTTCCAACCACACTGCTATTTTATCAAAGAACAAGTAAGGGAAGTTAATGGACTGACCGCAGCTCATGGATATAAAGTTACAAGACAGCTGCAAACAGCCTTTATGATCAGATACAGATATAGAATTACTAGACAGATTGCTTGAGAGAGTTGAGCAGGGGGGATAGCAGAGCCATCTTCATGAGTAAGACACAGCAAAACAACACATACTCAATATATAGTACTGCCCACTGAATGTAGGGACATAATTTCAGGCTATCAGAAGGATTATAGTTAGATGCTCGGACTACATCTGGTAAATATGAGGGCAACGTTTCAAAAGGTTCATCTGGTAAGACAAACAACTGAATGAATTTCCACATATCTCTCCAATCTGGATAGACGTCAGAACACAATACAGATAACATAGCTGTACTGTGGCATTCTTAACCCTTTAATCCGCATGCATAATATTCAGTTATTAATCTTAAGACTTAACTAGTACTAAATTTTCAGTTAATACCACAGCTTGGTGATATATCAACATAGACAATGACCACTATATCCATAATAAAGTAGTGGTGTCCCTGTTCAAAGCGGATTTTATTTATTTTATTGTACTTTGCCCTTTACTGATGGTATCCAGACCCAGACAATTAACTGCATGTATGTCATTTGCTGGCTCCTTAAGATTGTTTTGAAAGAACAGTTTGAAATTGATAAAAAAATAAATAAATGGTAAGCTTCCTTTAAGGAAATGTGCTTTCTGTCTGATTAACATTTACAATACTGTGTAAGGCTTTCTTTGGCATCATTTTAAGAAACGAAAACAGAACAAAACAGCTCAATCAAAACAGGCTAGAGCAGGTCTCAGGAACAATGCGTCATTAAATTTATTAATGCCAAATTAATTTGTTAATGCCAACAAATTAACTATTTTAATGCTAACTTAAGTATTATCTGATGCTGATAAATTTGGACAAATATCATGATATCGAATTTTATCTATTTGACCCAGCCCTAGTCACTATGAAAAGAATAGGTTAAGTAGTTATGAGAGTGAGGAACTGAGGTGTATTCCAACTTACAGGCCTTTAAGTAGTTCATGTAGATGGCTAATATTTTCTACAACAGTGTGCTTATTTCCAACTGTTTTAATATTCTGCTATTCCAAAATGAAATGAGCTCTGGCGCTAGAAAAACAGAGCTTTGGTTTTAGGTTAGCACTGAACAGACCTGAAGACTATGTCTGCTTGATTTACTCACAAGTCCACTCAAGGATAATAGAAGAACTTTCAAGGCCAGTTGAAAACTTCTTCATCCCTTTCCCTAGATAGATATCCCAATGACCCATATCCAAAGCAAAACAAACACTCCTCAGTTGCGTCCGGACCCAGATTAGGCCTGGTCTTGGGGTAAATGGTCCTGACAGTGGGGGGTTTTTCCCACTGAAAATCCTTTTTAGTTTACTATCTAATCTTAATCTGTCTCTGGATACCCAGCCCTTCGTGTTTACATGTTACATGGTCATATCCTTTACCATATGGCCTGCTTGCTGATGCTCCTTGATTGTGGATTAACTTTGGCCCCAGTTCTAATTACTTGCTTCTACTTTGCCTGCTTTTCTAGCTGTATTCTTTGAATGAAAGTTGCTATATTATTGTTACTGTTATTGGCCACACAACTGGAAATGTCCAGGCCTTCCTTGTGCAATATGTGAGTCCACGTATGTCAGTGTGAGTGCGGTTGTGAAACTGAGTAAGTGTTTGTGTGTTCCATACCGCGTGGCAAACATGGCTCTGAGGGAGGAGAAGGTGGCGGCATCCTCCTTCAGGGCTTTGAGCTCGTTGCGTAGCTTCATCATGGTCTCTGTCACCATGGCCTTCTCGTTCTCATACTTGCTCTTAAGATTGGCCAGTGCTACCTCAGCAGTCTGAAGAATGGAGAAATGGACAGAATGTACTGTCAAAACCGAACAGATACCAAAACTAGATAACCAAGTATCTGCAAGGTTATCTGTCTATGTGCACGTATGTTAAATGTAACAAAAGCAGATACTGTAGTTAGCAAAGTTAAGGTACCCATTTTTGAGTGTTAATGTTCTCTGAGTAGAGAATAAAGAAAAACAAAACCATAAGAAGTTAAAAAAACCCCACTATGCTATGATTGGCAACCACAGCTTTAACAGACATCAACATGAACACTGCCGACAGAAGTGTTTGCACTGATACTTTCAACAAGGTTGAGTCTGGTATGTTATTGTGTCTACGTAGCTTTAAATGTGCTTTTATGAGTGGTTTTACTTCATGGCTCCAGACAACGCATGTTCATTGTGTGTTGGAACGGTGGGAGGTCACAGAGCACCTTCAAAGAGCTGAATACAGAGACACCCAGCCACCTACCCTGGCCTGTAAGTCCTTTAAAGCTTTCATCTTTATACAACACAAAGAACGAGGGGGTCAGCTGTCAGCAACAGAGACGCTGTGATCCTGCGATGTCTGCCGACCAGACTACATCTGTACCAACAGGTGTTCCACATTTTTACTACTATGTTTTTCTTTTCCAATTGACTCTCCTAACAAGTACAAGCTATCGGTAGATGGTCAGACTGAGGACTTCTCATTGTTAAAACATTCATTATTCACATTCTGTTAATGGTTCTATCTTTATTAATTTAGCAATTCCCATAACTAAGATCAAAATCTGCAGATTTTTTGCTCCAAAGAGCAATTGACCAATTCATTATTTTCATTTTGGCAGGTCTGTGTTGCATTTATGATGTAAACAACATGAAGCAGGTAACTACATACGCGCTGTATTTAAACGCTGCTGCCACACCTTTACCAAAATCTTGTATAAGCATAACTATGCATGACTCATTGTGATAAAAAACACTAACTTTTAAACAGCACTTATGTTCATGTTAAATAGGCAGCTTTTATTTATAAATTTAAAGAGCCAGTTTGGACCATTTCAGTTTTTTTTTATTCTTTCAACACTGACCTGCTTATTGGCCTTGAGGACGGTTCGCAGGGTGGCGATCTGCTCCCTCTTGGTGCTGAGGAGGGACTTGAGCTTGAGGATCTCCTCCAGGCTGGCCTCCTGGTCCCTGTCACCTCCAGGGCCCAGCTCCATGGAGGCCACACGTTGACGGGACAGCTCGGTGGTGCGGTCAACAGCCAGTTGCAGGTGCCGGATCTGGTCACGGATGATGGCCACCAGGTTGTAGATGTTCATTGGCTCCTTGCGTGGGTCAGCCACTGGGGACGGCAGGGAGGAGGAGGATGGAGATAGGGTCTCTCCTTCAGGTGTGGGGAAGAGGCCACGAGTGAGCAGGATAGGTGAGCGACGCCCACGACCTTCAGGGCTGCTCCGGCCGGTTGGGTTGGCTTTGCCCTCGCGATAGAAATCTAGCATGACGCGATTGGGTGTCTCGTTGTTACACATGCAGACATGGTGGTAGAGGTTGGCTAGCTCCTCACTGAAGGTGGCCAGCTCATCTTGGGCGACGCTGAGGCTGCCCTGCGACTCGCCAGCCACTTCACTGGCCTGCCGCAGCTCCTTCTCCAGCCGCGCCAGCTGCTCCCGTTCTGCCCGGCTGCTGTGCTCCAGGGTGCTCAGCTGAGAGCGCAGGGAGGCCACCTGGCTCTCCAGACGAGTGCGGTCTTCTTCATACTGCGACTGACAGGTGGAATACTCTGCTTTCAAAGTCTTCAGTTCCTCCTTCAGGTGACCAGCCTCTGACACGGCAACCTGAATTTTCAAAAGAGCAGTTCCAAGTTAGGAAATCTAACACTTAACACTTAGTATAAGTAGTCAGTGATTATCAACAATGTCAAAGTTAGGGTCAGCATTAGCACCAGGGCCAGGGTTTTGGGTTAAGATTAAGGTTAAGTTTAGGGTTAGAGTGAGTGTTAAGTTCAGAGCTGAAGAGCATCTACAGTGAACCAGCAAAAAACTGTTTCTGTTGTTATACTCTCACCTTGTACTTGCACTCCAGGATCTCAGGGCCATTGATGTCCACCTCGTAGTAGTCTCCGTCCTCGTGGCTGTCACGCTCCTTCTCGTTGTCCAGGGCTGACTGGCGCTCCTTGCTGGCCTGGAGCTTGCGCATGGCGTTGAGGTTCTCAGTGAGGCGGCTGACCTTCTCGTGCTCTTCTGACAGAGCCCCATTAGCCTGCTCCAACTGCTTCTGTGAATCCTGCAGCGTGGACAGCAGCGTCACCTTCTCTCTCTCCACCTGACAGATCAAAACAAGACAGAACGGACACATTTTTGTATGTTCTTTTGAAAGTATATTCTAGAGAAACACTATCCATACATTCACCAGGAGTAGGAAACAGATCATTTTTTGAAAACTGAGAAAATTCTGTGCCAGTGTACTCAAAGGTCTCTCTTTAGAGTTGACTGAAGCAAAATATAGAGTTTAGCATATCAGCAGATCTTTGGAAGGTTTTGTTTGTGTTAGGGCCTTTGCTCTGCCTAGGGCTGTTGTGGTGGGAAATTTTCAACACCGTGATGTTTAATTGCTTTTCCACCCTAATAACACTGCCAAAAGCTGAGTAGGACTTATGTAACCAATCTGATATTGGAAGTAAAACCACACAAATGTAGGCTGATCTATAGTAATTTATGATGTATTGATATATGGTAATCTGTGTCAACATGAAATAGTTCAGGAAAATATCAACCTCTTAATATAAAATAGTGGCGTTGATCAAAACAGCAGAAGAAGTGAAAATAATGCTCAGTTTCTATTTATTTGAGGATTTTAATACATTGGAAAAAAATTAAATAGAAAATGTGTCAAAACATTTGCATAGGCAGCATGTCATATGTCATCAGTCCGAGCTTCAGTTGTTTACTGATTTTGAGACATTGTTTTATGGCAGAATGTCATGTACGAGGTCACTCTCATATCTCTGAGCGTGAGACCTGGCTCAGTGCATCCAAGGTCATTGTTGGCAAGGTTGTCTCCAAGGTCATTGTTGGCAAGGTTGTCTCCAACTACAACCAGATCCTGAGAGCGACTGTTTATATTTTATTTCATTTGATTTAGATACAGCTTTTGAGTCCTGATTTAATATACAATTCCTTTAGCTTTAAAAATCTATTTTACTTCTCTCCTCACACACACACACACACACACACACACACACACACACACACACACACACACACACACACACACAAAGTGGTGTGTGCTGGAGTCTTGGGTTACCGTATCAGACTGGGGCTCAGCATGGTGTTATTTTAGAACAGGCCATGTTTTATTCCTGAGTCGCAAAATCCTCACTCACCTTCATTCATAATTCAACAAGGGGGAAATAAGACCCTTTGACAAGAGACATCATAAGCTTGGATTTAATTAATGTTTCTGCAGAATGAACCTAAAATTATATTACAAGTTGCTGTATAGTACCACATTTTGTCAAAGAAAGCTTCCCAACTTTAAAAACTGTAACGGCAACAAATGTTCCAACATCACCTTTAATGTCATCTCTTAGTATTTGATGTGACGATATTTAATGGCACTATGAGCCAATTAAAAACCACTCAAAGGCAGCTCTTCTTCTACACTACACTAACATTCACTGACGTGACCCAAATATGCATGAGGCAAGTCAGGCAACATCTCAGGACACCTCCTCCCTGACTGCGCCGTCGCACTCCCCCAGCGGCAGCGATGCTGAATAGAATAGCCTCAGATGCTCTGTGACGAAACCTAGCATTGATTGGCTAATGCTGGATCGATAGCTCTTTGAGAAAGGGCTTTCTGAGGGCAACTGAAAGACGGGATTCGGATAGCACTGTGCTGATGATGCTGCCGAATTGGCAGGCAGTGGTTCGCAATGCTTGGACAGAGCGAGAAACGTCTTTAAAATGCTTTTAAAGCATTCTTTCCGACGTAAGAGCAGCACACCCCCTCGCAAACAGAGATCTGCCAACTAGCACACAGCGCACCCTGGTTTCCATGGAGATGGCCCTTGCAGGTCAAAGTTCATGGGCTGATTTCCTGACAGATGGCAGGGCTGATGGTTCACTGTGCCAAAAGTGGGCGGTCCTGGAGAGCTAGGCTCATTCTTCTAATAGGATTTAATGAGGGCAGCTGTCAGCCAATCAAAAAAAGAGCATTTGTAACACATTACTGAGTAAAGATGAACTCTATGGGTTCATTTTAGATGGGATGCGGATCATGAAGAGGAGTTCTGATCTTCATGACTATCACTTCAAAGCTGTTGACTGATGTTTATGTTAGTCTTAGTGACTTATGATGAACTAAAAAGCTTTTTTACTTTGTACTTCACAACGAAAATACTCACTTCCCACTGAAATGAGATGATTTGTTCTGTTTTTAGAATCGCCTTCTGACAAAATGAGGAAATGTGCAGTCTCTATTTTTGGTAAACATGCAGCAGTTCAAAATACGCCTCAGACAATACAAATTCTGAACAAAAGAAAACTAATGGGCAAAGCTAAAAGTGCTTTCATAATTACAGAGATAATGCAGCAAGACAAAACTGCACAAATCTGTTTTTGGATAGATTCCTTATGGTGCAGTATTGCCTCTTGATGACAGGCCAACATTGTCTATTGCCTGCACGAGAACAGAGCCTGTATGGTGCAATATTGCCTTTTGATGACAGGCCAGCTTCAGGTATTACCTGCTCTAGAATAGAACATGTATGGTGCAATGCTGATTTTGGTGACAGGCCGGTGTTGGCATTACCTGCACAAGCTGTTGTTTGAGCTTTTGGATTTCTGAGATGTTGAGTTCGCTCAGGAGGTCGTCTACGAGGCTGGGGGCGGGGTGGAAAAGCTCGCTCTTTTTGGGTGTGGAGATGCGGTTGTCGTCGCTGTTGGTGATCTTGTCAAAGCCGTTCTCGTAGCCATGGATGGGGTCGTCGTTGTTGGGCTCGGTCGCTGCGTCGTCACTGAACTTCAGCCCGTCCAGAGAGATGTTCAGAGGATTGTGGTACATGGAGTCCCCGATGCTCATGTAGTGGGACAACTCCTTCCTCAAGGCCGCCTGGATCAATAATTGAGATGCAACAATTAGTCAAGCAGTGCTTATCAACAAAAACTTATCAGATTTATTCAGATATACAGGAGAAACTCATTATATATAAATTTTAACAATCTACTTAAAAAACATTAACCTTAAAACTCACATTGTACCATTCTCGTAATAATAATTGCGATTCATTTATTCCTTTTATAATGTTTAGAGTGTAGTTTTGAATACTGTAAGTTCTTTATAAGGTAATTTATTACAAAGTGTGTGTATATATATATATATATATATATATATATATATATATATATATATATATATATATATATATAAATAAAACAAGAACTTATTCATTAACAAATAATATACTGTTATTATCTATTGAGAATGATTTCCGGTCAAACTGTTTGCCTCAAGAATTGACAACCACTTTTTCAATACGAGGCATTATGGATGTTAATTTTACTATAACTTTATTAACTTTATTCTCAATATTTTACAGCTTTTTCAGTTATTATGGAATCTTTAACAGCTCATCATTCTGGACACATCTAACATTTCTTATTTTTTTCTACAGCCTCCTATTTTTGTGCGTTTCACAAATTAGCTTTATTACTGATTTCATATATTAGTGAACGCAAACTTTTGAATGGTAGTCTAAATAACATCTCTTACAATGTACTTAAACAAGGTTGGACCCTAATAATCATGACTTTTATAAAAAGCATTTTATGGTTAGATTCACACACATTGCACAATCTGCAATCAGAAATTTGTCTCTGCCATTCTGCCATTCTCTTAATAGAATAATTAGTATAATGAATTTATCCCTACCCACCATCACAGATGTTCTAATGCGGTTCATTCTAATTTAGAGCATGATATGTGTTGTGTATGTATGATTCTGCTATAGTTCTTGCCTTCTGCTCTCTCTCAGTCTTGATGGTCTCCAGAGCTTCTCCCAGCTGCCTCTCTGCGATCTCCTTCAGACGGATGGCGTCCTCCAATTGGCTGTTCAGGAACTGCGTGTCCTCCTCCAGGCGACGAATCTCATGCTTCAGGCCCTCAAACTCCACCTAGACGGCAAAAAGAAATGTGAATTGAAGAGTTGGTGTATACAGTTTTTTTCTACTGTGTAATTTAAATTGCAAAATAAGTTTACATAGGTGAGCAACTCTATTTTTTTTCTAGGCCACCATTCAGATGTCACTGTCTAGCACAAAGTGGAACTGCAAGAACAAGTAAAAGCCAGCATTAACTGTGGAACTAAACATAGCCGATGTGTCTTCAACATCGGCTATGTTTAGTTCATAGCTTCAGTTGTAAACTTTTGGAACGGCTAATTGTAAGGTTTTTTGAACTGTTTTCTTTTTTTTTAAAGGTAGCTAATAACATTATGTGTTCTGGTTTGGGACTGTGTTCTGACATGTACTTGACTCTAATTATTAATTATGATTGCTGGCATGTTTGGGCAAAGAGGCGTATTTCTGCAGGGTGCTGGCCAATTCATCAATGCCTGCCTGCTGAACCTCAAGGGCTATGATCATGAAATTTTAGCTGATGATTAATTGCCATATAAATTAATGCGATTAACAATTAAAATCTAACTGAATTGATGTGAGTTCCAGAGATGTACATTTCAAATAGTGAGTGATCAGTGATATTATCTGGCTCTGTTTGAGCATGGGAACATTTCTGCAGGCTGATGTTACATTCAACTATACCTTTCCAAAATCAGTGCATATAAATTGGCACCTTACGATCAATGCATCATTACGTTATATTGCTGTTACAGGTGTAAAATTCAGCAATATAACATGATGCATTGATCGTAAGGTGCCAATTTAAATGCACTGATTTTGGAAAGGTATAATTGTTTATAATCAATTATAATAGTATTCAAGAAAGCATGGACACCTTTTGTGTCTCTCAGGCTATTTTAAACATAAAAATCTATTCCGTATCCCATTAAAGTGTAAACAGTTCCTCCAGTCAAAACTGTACTCACATCCCTTCTGGTGAGTAATGGGCTATATTACCTGGCTCTGTTTGAGCACAGACACATGTTTCTGAAGGGTGATGTTTTCCTCCTCCAGCTCGCTATAGTCCTGCAGCAGACGAGCCTCACGGAACTTATACTCTTTAATGTCATCACGGAGTCGGGACCTCTGTAGCTCCACCATCTGACTGTTCTGTTTTATACAAAAAAAAACAAAAAACAAAGACACAGGTCAGTTAAAAAAAGCAACATTTATATGAATTAATAACACCATTTGCTGTATATAAAGGGATTTGTCACAATGCCTGATTTCATGTCCCAAAGGAACAGATTTTGTGCGCAACATTTCAAATCAAGTCCAAGCCTGTGAACTCTGACACATGAATTTGCATCTTCGACCAATAGCGCTAATGCTCTGGCTCCGTTGAGCTGTAAAGGAGTACAATTCTGTTCACCTTTGTGTTTGTAGTGTTTATGGTAATTGCTTAGCGCGCCCTGGATAACCACAGCTGCAAGTCACCCCACTGTCAGAAACCTCATCAGTTACATACACTTTTTTGCTACAGATCAGTGTGCAGCACTGTGCTGCTTGCTAAATGCTATGTTAGCTGGTTGGCTGACCGCAGCTGCATAGAAGTCAATGCACTGTCATCACCAGTTATCTACAGTTTATCTAAATTGTACAATTTTTTTTTGGCTAGAAATCAGGGTGCAATATTACTTAATTTTGTACACTTCCCAAGGCTAGCGAGTTAGCTACCTTGCTAACTACACGAACATGGAGGACTTTTTTTAAGTTGCCCATCTTCCAGTCCAGCATCGGTCACACTCATTTCACAAACTGCAAATATCTAGTGTGTTTGCTGCCTAATGTAACCATAAATGTCAACAACAGCGGCCAGGGTATGTGTGTACCTGTGAGTGAGTGAAAGCAAGAGAGAGGGCTATTCCCAGTTGTCATGGAAACCACACACACACCTCATGATGGTTCTTTGGATGGCACGGCGCTGACACAGATGGCGTGTGCATGTGCACTGTACGTGTGTGCGAGTGGTTGTGAGTGAGAAACACAGATGGTGATTAATGGGAAACCGACAATGAAGCAGTCGGGTAACCCAGGATGACAGAGACAAACACAAGCTTGCTGTGTGTGAACCACTCACACACACACACACACACACACACACACACACACATAAATGCATGAATACACAAAATAATCACAAGGATATTTATGACATCTATCAGTATATAAGTAAATGTGCTCCTCAGTGTCTGATAATGGCACCACTGCACTACCATAGCTGTGTATATAATGCAGAGGAGAGAGAACAAACAGGCATCAGGCTCCTGGGACCAAATCAGCCCTGCTTAGAGCCCTCAGTGTCTCACAAATCATTAGTCTCCAGTCATCCCTGTATTCCTTGTCTATTTCTTAACCATATTCTTTGATTTTCCTTTCATTAGATCTGTCACGATTAATTAAACTCAAGTACTTGATTTTAATTAAACACATCTAACACATACCTTCTCAATAAATACGATATTTACATGACGATAATGCACATTCTAAATTCTCCTACTGCTTTCCTACAGTCAGACACTTTATACACTACACAGTGTTTGTATTTATTTTAATGACTTTGATTTATATTTATATACAGGGGTTGCGATCACAATACTTTAGGACACTTTCATAGTATATGATAATATGCATCACTATATATATATATATATATATATATACACACACAATACATATTGTATATATATATATATATACATACATATATACTATATATATATATATATATATATAATATATATATATATATATATACACACACACACACACAATACACATATGTATATATATTTTTTTTTCTGGGATTTGGTGTGATTAACGTTTCACACACTGCACCACACAAAATCCAATTAAACAGGACTATTTATACTCCCTTTGTAATTAAACATGCAGCTGGTCAGTGTTCTTTAAGTACCGTCCATATCCACGACATGCTCAGAAAAGCATATTGTGCTGTAATATGACAATTTATCATGATATACTGAATGCCGTCATATTGCCCCCTACTTCTTTATTGCCCTTTTCCCAATAAAATATGTTGAAAGCAGGGTTTGTTATTATTGAGCTAAACTCCTTTTTATTGTGTGGCCTTTTGCGCCTGTAACTCAATCATCAAACTAACCAGTAGATTACACAATCACTAATATCAACAATGTATTTTATCTAGCTGCTGGTGAGCACAAACTAGAATTAAAACTGGAATTTGTGGCATACTTTTGTTTTCTGTGTAGTTTCTAATATTAAACTGTATTATGCCAATAAAAGTAGGAACATGGGAATGGTGGGCCAATTCCGATATCAGGTATATTTCATGCACATATCTGTCAATGATGGTAGATAAACATTTATAAAAAACAGAACCTGGGACTAGATCTAAAAGCATTACAGATAAGTTACATTTATTTGTATAGAGTTACAGGTACAGTAAAATGAATAAAACGCAGACCATTTATCACAGTAACCCAACATTCTGCTATTTTTAAAAGCTAATTACTGTTCAAGCGCTTCATGTGATCCTACACAATGCCATGTCCTCAATCATTTGAGGTTACTACGTAACATGCCTACATAACTGCATATTATATTACCATAACTGGGGGCAAATATCACATTCATCTCCTCCTGTATTATATATCCTCCTATTATCTCTGAGTCCCCCTGTTGAGTGCTTTCACTCTAAAGCAGCAGGCTGCGTACCTCTTCATCCATTCGCCCTCTCAACTTTTAAGCCTTTGCTTCCCTTGACACGCTACACCTCTTTCTTTATCCTTATCTCCATCTGTTTTCCCTCACAATCCCCACTACCAGACAGGGAAACCCTGTCCCAGGGAATGGTGGGCAGGGATGCGCTGCAGCACATAAAGGCTTGGTGTCTTGGGAATATACATATACGTACTGGAAAAAGTTCTTGCATCATACGCACGCACACTTCAAACACCAAGGCTCACGATTTCACACCAACTCAGGCTTGCCAATTGAAGTCAAACTTAATGCTAGACTGTCCCGTCTATTTCTGCTTCAATGCTGTAATCCTGGTTTTCAAACTGTTCTCATTAAAATGAGGGAAATCCACTCTTCCTTACACACAGTCAAAGAACCTACCGCTGGTTTTCTTAAGTAAGGAAACCTGTATTTTAAAGTCTGCCTTAGGAATGTACTTTTCCCTTATTAGCTGGATAACATAAATACGCTGGACCTGACTAATTCATAAGACTGCTTATACTTTAGATTTATAATGCTTTATATTGAAGATTTATAATGCTAATATCGAAGGTAGCCTAAAGCATACAGTACATACAGTACACTTATTATATTTCCGGTCAAAATCACTTGTTGGGAAACTTGCAGGTAGATCTGCTCGTCTGTTTTTCCACATCTTCAAAGTTCAGTCTTAGAAGTTGGTTGCATTTTCTCCTTCACACAATCCAACTAACCCTAAACACATTAAATAATGCTGAGGTCTTTACTCTGGTCAAGTCCATTGTTCAGAGAACACCAGCAGCTTCTTTCCCTAATTTTCGTCCTTTATGTCTAATTCCTTTTCTCGGTAATGACTTCTTCACAGCTACACATACTTTCTGACCCACAGCATTGACTTCTTGTCTCACCAGTTTTTCCTTTGACCTTCCCCTTCCTTATGCAAGTAGATCATCTAATGTCTAATCAGAAATATATCCTGAAAATGAATGATTTGTACTTAAGTTGCTGTTTTGACTGGAAGCTAAAAATGCTAATGAATAATTCAGTAAGTCAGACCCTGACATCGATGGCACCAATAACACCAATTGCTATCAAAACACAACATTTTGTTATCATCCTGTGACGCTTGCTATAACATGGGTGCATGGAAACCATACATGTGATGCTAAAAAAAAGGTTCGACAAAACTTTTGAAAGTCAAATGATCCCATCTGTTTAAATATTTATTCCTGTCTGGTTATTTCAGGAACACATCCACAATAGCACAACTGCAGTAATGAGGGTGTTTTGACCTCTAATTGTTTGCTGTGTGTGCATTAGGTTTCAATGCCATTTCCTTTTAAAGAAACAGTGGCAAACATTCCAACAGCCTGGTTTTTGCATATACTTGCAAAAACACACATAGGTGCAAATGCAGTCGTCAGCCCAATTCACTCACATGCCAACACTTAAATATCAATGAGGCTATAAGCATGCATGATGAGGACGGTTTTTGCTGTTTAAGTGTAGAGTGTGAACCTCAGTGGCATGCCCACAGCAGCACACATACCTACATAATATCCTTTCTGGTATTTATGGTGTAATCAGAGCTACAATGAAGGTCAGCAACATTATACTTGACCTGAGGAATTGCAAATCATGCAGCAGATGAGTTAGCCAACGCTCCTTCCATATAATTCTCAAAGCAGGCCTAAACATGTCAGCATCTCTGGCTTGTGAGTAACCTTGTGTAAATGAAAAATGAGAGTCTGACATGTAATCTACAGGCGTGCCACAACTACAAGATGTACTGCTTTATTAAAAAATGTGCTTTGGACTGACAAATAAAAAGCCAAAACACATTTAAATGTATTTTCAATATATGTCAACATTCAATACTGATGTGTCTGGTTCTAAAATATAATATGGCTGTCTATGGTATAATAAATAAATGGTCAACAACTGAAAATGTCAACATACAACTGACATTTTTAATATTTTGGCATGCTAGATCCAGTCTTGAGGGGGTTGTATTTATACTTGTCAGGAAAGGTTTCAGCTGTTCACTGAAGAAAGTGATGGGATGCTCCCTAAGAAGACAAGCATGAGTCTTTGTGAGACCCCAACTGTGCCCACATCATCTGAACAGCTAAACGTCACATGGCACTAATACTCTAACATGCTAAACAGCTCTTATTTTTCCTTTTTTGTGTTTATGTGTCTGTGTGCAACTGATATATTATGGTTTTACTGATGTACATTACACTAGTACACTAGTAACTTAACCTACACGTTGATGCTGCTCAGACTGACTCACTATGTTCAGGAAGAAATGGACTGACCATTAATATTGCAAACATTCACAGGCTATATCAGTCATCAGGCTTACTATGCTATGAGAAAGTACTTGTCTGACAGTGAAATCATGC